TATCATACATAATCACTCAAGTATTGTTCCTGAATAATGTTAAAAAAAAAAAGCAGGATTCTGAGATGGATGGAAAGCATCTGTTTAGTTACATACATTTTGGTGTCCTGTGTTTATTATCATTAAAATAAAACTGTTCTTTAGTAATATGCCTATACTTTAAAACTCTGTTGATAAGCTGAATATAATTTTATTTTAAATATTAGAAACATTTCACACATAAGCAAGTCAGTAAATTATTAATAAATTAGATTCTGAGTATTTTAACAATTTATGACTTTAATTTAACTTCTTAATAATTCATTAATTTTCATGCTGTTGATATATACAAGATTTCTTTTTGTGCTTCATCTTTTATTTAAATATTATTACTACATAATATTTTTTACCAATTTATAAACCTTGACAGTTTATTCATTTACTTTTTTTACATAATTGCATTTATTTTGTTGTTGTCCATAATATACACATCAAAACATACATCAACTCAACAGTTTCCATGAGTACCACTTAATGATATTGTTTACATTCTTTGAGCTATATAAACCTTTTCACCCTCCTTTCTGAGCTGTTCTTCCTTCATTAACATAATCTCCATGCCCAATGAAGTTCCTTACTAATCATCTGAGTTTCTATTGTCAATATGATCCCATTTAGATAGTTCTTAAAGAGCATAATACTCAAAGCAGATTTTTTTTTTACTAGTTGTGCCAAACTATTGTTTGGATTTTAAGAAGACTTTGGGAGCTATTTTTCATTTAAGGTTTGAAAATTATCTAAGAGAAAGTTTTAGGGGTTCATCTAATCTTTATTACTTCAAGAAGTCTGAAGTCCATGTGAATTTGAAATGCACTTTTGCATTTTTCTTCTTTTTATTACCTTTTTCCTATAGATTCTCTAATCAAAATGTTCAGTACTGGTAGCAGGACACCACTCGGCTCTTCTGGCAAAGGAGGAACCCATTCCATATCCTCCTCCTACTCCTGATTCTCCATCTTCTCTTGTTCTAGACAAATAGAGACCAATTGGTGGGCTTTGGGTGATCACTTATAAGCTTTTAAGTGACTCAAACGTTACACATCAAACTAGAATGTAAAACAGACGCACTAAACATGCTATTAAGCAATTAATTGTGATGCCTCATAAAACCATGACCCTAAACTCTCAAACTAAGAAACAAATTCTGTAAAGGTTGAGAATAATATTGTCAGTGCCATAGGCTGCTAAAAGAACCAACAGATCTGTGTTGGAAGAAGTGCAGCCAGAGTGCTCCTTGGAGGCCAGGGTGGCCAAACTTCGTCTCTCATACGTCATACATATTGTCAGGAAGGACTGGTTGCTGGAGAAGGATATCAGTTTGGTAAGGTGGAGGGTCAGAGAAACAGAGGAAGACCCCCAGCAAGATGGATTGGCAAAGTGGCAGCATCAATTGGCTCAAGCATGGCAACAATTGTGAGGTTGGCCCAGGATCAGGCAGTGTTTTGTTCTGCTGTGCATAAGGTCACTATGAGTTGGTACTGACTCGACGGCACCTAACAACAACAATAATCAGTTTCAGCAGCTACCATTTTTGTCTGTGTTGTAAATATATCTTTGATAATTTATTATAAGCTGTTATATATCAAGCAAATTTACTATAGTCAGGAAGTACTTCAGATAAATATTTTAAGTAAACTTCTTAATTGACAAAGTTATTAATTTAAATTATTCTATAAACTTGAATATTGACTTGATAACATGTGACTAATTTTATTAACTGTTTATTGTGAATTTGGTGATATGTTACTAATTTTGAATGACTAAAATTTTGAATAAAAGCATATTAAAATAAGTCAAATTAAGCTTTAATTTAGAATTGCTTTGTAATTAATGTAAACAGGTTGTGTACTTATCAAGTAATTGTTATTACTGTGAGTCATGGGAATAAATATTGCTACTTTATAAAATGATTATGTTTCATATTTGGGTATAATCCTAATACTTGGGAGAAAATCTGCAATTTGTATCATAATTGTATTCATTCAGTGAAATAATTTTGACCATTTGATGTAATAAGCATCCTAAATGACAAGGATGTGACTGTGAATAATGCAAAGTCACTACTCTAGATATAAGATACTAATAATGAATGCGTGCCTAGGCAGGTATGTCAGATGGGGAATAATGTTATGTGGAAAAATAAAAGTAAGTCAAGGCAATAGTGAGTAATGATGGTGAGTGTGCATATAGAATCAGAAAGGCACCTCTGTCTGATAAGATTAGATCGAAGCATGGCACGAGTCATAAGAAATATATAGACGTTCTGCACCATGGGGACAGCAAGTACAGAATTTCACGGGGAGAGAGTATGTTTAGAGTTTTTGAGGAACAACCCAAATGTCTATATAGATGCAATAAAGTAAGAAAAAGTGAGAGTGGTTAAAAATAAGTTTACAAAAGTGGTCGGTGATAAGGTCATGTAGGGTATTGAGTACCATAGTGAAGACTTGAACTTCATGGGAAGAAATATAGAAAGGTCTTTGTTGATTTTGAGAAGTAACATGATTTAATTTCATGTTTGAAAGCTAATCCTAGTCAGGATTTGATGCCTTATTAGAGACTAAATAGTAGGGATAAGGGTAGAACTGAGTATGGGGTTAGGTAAACATTGCAGTAATCTAGTGGAGAGAAGATGGTAGCTTTCTCTGGAGAGTTGTTGGTGGAGGTAGAAAGAAATGGTCAGAATGCATATATATCTTTAGAGTCAAACCTTCAACTCAATGTAAATAAAAATTTTGAATAATCAGCCTAAACATGGTTTTTAAGATGATGAAGATGGTTATGTATATGACGCAATGACTCATCCAATGCCCAAACATTAATACTACTCCTTTACTCCTTCAGTGATAAAATATATTGATAGTATAAGCTACTTTCACATATGCCTAATAGAAATCAGTATATCAATCTACTTATTATATAAAGAAATAAAAGTTGTGAGAAAATAATATGTATTTTAGTATGTAAATGTTCATACAACAATACTTGCCAAAAGCTTGCTCCTACATATACTATGTATGACATGAAAGCTGTAAAAAAGACATAATTCAGTATTGTACTGTAGCTCAAATACATTAAGTACATAAATGATGTTGCCATCAGTAATAGTAATTTTCCAAAATGGTGAAAAACTTTTGTTAAAAATCCAAACAGAATAAATTTTTTTCTTGGTTTAAGAGATAGTTGCATTGTTGAAAAAGCCAGTGAATACTAAATGGTGTAAAAACTATTTTGTTTGTATGTACACAAGTTCAGATAATTTTAACCATGAAGATCTCCTACATGAACATCCAGTGGGGATGTTCAGATTTTCCAGGATAATTGATATTTTATTACTTTTGTGCTGCTTTTATATTTCAGGGTGTTTAGCATCTTTCAAGGAGTCCTGGTTGGTGCTGTAGGATAAAGCTCTAGTCTGCAAAGTCAGTTTGAACCAGTCAGAGGTTAAATTCATCAGCCATTCCTTGGAAACCCGACACAGGGTCACTATGAGTCAGAGCTGACTCAATAGCAATTAACAAGAAGAAGCATCTTTCGATACCAACAAGACTACTCATTGTGACAACTGGAAGTGGTTCTTCTTCTAGTTTTCCAAATGCCATTAAATAGGATAATAATGTTATTTAGAAATACTTGCAAGGCTAGAAATCTGGGGACTGAATCTTCTAGGTTTCATACTAGAGTATAAGAAGAAAAGGAGGATCCAGCAAACAAACAAGGAGAAACAAGACAGTGGCTAAATTATAGGCACATTCCTTTTTTCTTTTATTGTACTTCACACATATTGCATTTTAAAAAAACTAAAATCAAAAAAACAAACTGAAGGTTTGTGGTAACTCAGCATTGAGCAAGTCTATTGATAACCATTTTTCCAATAGCACTTGCTCACTTTGTGTCTCTGTATTATATTTTGATAATTCTCATAATATTTCAAACTTTTTTCATATGCTATGGTACACTTAACACACTTCAGTATAGTTTAAACATATGCTTTGTATGCACTGGGGAACCAGAAAATACATGTGACTAACTTTATTGTGGTTGTCTGGAACCAAACCCACAAAATCTCCAAGATATGCTTGTATTTCACTCTCAGTGTATACAGTGTTAGAGTATACTCAATACAGTAAAATGTATACTCAATACAGTGTTAGAGTATACTCAATACAGTAAAATGCTACTAATTAGGACAGATTGTTGACCAACTTTAAATCTGTAAATATTACTAAATTTGTATTTTTTTTTTTAGAGGATTTCCCCCTCCTATGTTGTTGTTGTTAAATGCTATTGAGTCAGTTCCAACTCATAGTTTCCAAGTAGCAGCTGGTGAGTTTGAACCACCAGTCTTGCAGTTAGCAATCCAGTGCTTATCTACAGCATCACACTAGGACCTGTTTGGTTTTTTTAAACTTGATATTTACTATCAGATAATTGCAAAATGGAGACCTGGTGTGGCGCCATAGAATATGCCCTTGACCTTAACGTCATTGGTTCAAACTCACCATCCACTCCTTGGAAACCATATACAGGATCACTATGAGTTGGAACGGATTCAGTGGCACTTCTGAACAATAACAACAAATTGCAGAATAAAGAAACTTGAAACTTTCCTAAGATATTAGTAAAGTGGCTCACTTTTTTTAATTGTTAATTTTTTGGCATACTGGGGTTGAAATATATTATAATTGTATGTATATTCAAATTTAAAAGACTAATGTTGACTTTTTTATCCTTAAAATGTACTGTGCTTTTACATTTTTTATTAAGATCTGACACCTTAAAACACCCTCTTTTATAGTAAGATGGCATTTCATATAGGTTGAAAAACTTAAAATTTAAATTAAAGGGATTCTTTTGGAAAATTATTTATTGGATTAACAGTAGGATTTTTAATCTCAGTGTTTCAAATGACATGTATAGCATTTGGTGTTGTTTGACAGTTTTTATATTTTTAATTGTAGATCTCTGTGGAAGAATTAGAACATAGCATCAGTGTTAAAATAGCCAAAGAAGCGGTGATGAATATAAATAAACCTGGAAACCTTTTTACACCTACAAATGGATTTTTGGAAACCAAAGTATACTTTGCAGGATTACCTCAGAAAATGGAAAATGTACTCATTAAACCGGTAATGATCCAAGTCCACATCATTCACCATAGATGAAAATCCTTTTATCTATAATAGGTTTGAAGAAGTATTTTCCTAAGAGCTAATAGAAGTTATTTTGTTAAGCATACCAAGTGTGACAACTTGAACTGAGCACGGAAAAATATTACTGGCTCTTGAAATAATCTTAAGGAAATAAAATGAATGTAGTATTACTGAGCGTTTAAAAATCTTTACTCAGCATTACTTACTAAGAAGTGGATTTCTCAGATGTCAATTCAGTATTAATATTAATAATTAATACATAGTAGTCCATATTTAGCTACTAACATATTTGAGTTCAAAATATATTATTTTATCGAATCTAATGAAAATACTTTGACGGAGTTATTTAAGTGCTTAAATTTAGGATAAAGATTGCATATAAGGTGGAACATTTTAAAAATCCTAACTGAAAGTATAATTCAGCCTGTAATAAATTGAGGTTAGACATAATAAATGATTTTCTGAATATGATGTTTGTCTAATAACTTTGAAATAGATTTCCTGAAGGAGACTTATCACTCTTTTGAAAGTTTTAAAAATTGCATTTGAAGTCTTGGACCTACTGAAAACCCTTGGTGATTTAACTTAAATATTTAAATTATATATTCATCTTTCACTCATGGATATTCACAACTGCTTTAACTTTAAAAAGATTTTTGTGATATAATATAAAAGTTGCATTAGTTAACCGATGTCAAAATGAATTTACCTGTTCTTTGAAACTGATAAATAATGACACTTAAAGGTATGTGAAGTTAAGTTTTAAAAATCAAATATTTATTAAATGGCTACTACATGTATTTAAGGAGCTCTGGTAGCGTAGTGGTTATGAATCGGGCTGCCAACCGCACGGTCAGCAGTTCGAAACTACCAGGTGTTCCGTGGAAGAAAAATGAGGCTTTCTGCTCCCATAAAGACTTAGGGCCTCAGAAACCCTGTACAGGGTTGCTATGAGTCGGAACCAACTCCATGGCACACAGCCACCACTACCACATGTATTTAATGTGGCTGGATGTTTTGGCTAAAAAATAAAAATCATTTCTTTTTCCTGAAGTGGCTTAGATTGGCAAACCAAAAGCTATGCTCTAAAAGCAATTAAAGAAACACCAAAACCCGTCTAGCACCTAGGGCTACAGTTGGCAGTATTTATAGAACTTGAGAGCAGAATCGTTACCATTTGATATCACAGGAGAGGCAGGTAGATTCCAGTGGATACCTGTGGTAGCAGTAACTCACTTTTAATGAAAAAGACTCCCTACCCATCTGAAAGAAACCTCCCAAAGGAAAAAAAAAAATTAATTGTGCAAAATAATTTCTAGTGTCCTCAAAGAAGTAAAATTTCTCTCAAAATTAAAAACTTATACCTATAATCAACCGAAAGGTTGGCGGTTCACACCCACGCACTGCTCCCTGGAAGCCCTATACAGGGTTTGAGTCATAACCAACTTGATGGTACTTAACAAAAACAAGAACAACATAATCAATAAGTCAACTCAGTTTAAGGTTAAAATGCACTCCTTGTCCTGTACTTTAACTTGTTAGATTAATCCTCGTCTAGATGGATGTATACGAGAATGGAACTTGATGAATCAAAAAGCTTCAGGAGTAAAGGGGATTATTCAAAAAAAACAAAAGAACCATTGCCTCATCAATGTGGAGAAGGGTTCCTACTATCCTGGTTCTGGAGTTGCTCAGTTTAGCATAAATTATAGTAAGTGATTTCCCATTTTTTTTATCTTTTCCCATTAATGACTAAATGTTTTCATTGACAAATAGCAGTGACTCCATCAATAAACATTATTGAGTTCCTTTTATGTTCTAGATTTACTCTTACTGTTACATACGTTTTGTAAAAATTTCCCAAGAAATTGAAAATACAAACTTCAGAAAGTTTATGGAAACATTCTGTTATCATTCAATTCCATTTTCTATGAACTTTTTGAAGCCCCTTTATATATAGGCAGTTGAATATGCTTATACTATTTTTAACATTTATTGAAACATAACCTGACTAATTTGGGGTAGTATACACTGACCTGTTTTAAAGTTCATAGATTTCTCTGCTTTGTGGTATCAATAGGTACCCTGGTAGCACTGTGGGCTAAACATTGGGGCTGCTAATCTCAAAATTGACAGTTCAAATCCACAAAATGCTCTGCAGGAGAAAGATGAGGATGTCTGCACCCCAAAAGATTTACAGTTTCAGAAACTCAAAGAAGCAGTTCTGCTCTAGCCTATAGTGTTGATATGAGATGAAACAAAGTCCATGACTGTGGGTTTGGTTTTTGTTGGTATCTGATTATAAGTCCATCAAAGTGATTCATTTTCATTGGATATTTCTTACTTTCTACTTCTCTGCTGAAATCTCCCATTTGTTCATCAGTATTGTACATCTTTTCCACCACAACCTTCACTATATAATCAGGTTGTTGTTAGGTGCCATTGAGTTGGAACCGACTCATAGC